AGATAGAAAAAAACCCTACTTATATAAACAGAAGCCAATATCTTAACCCTTTCTTTCACCGCCACCACACTTTCTGCCTTTTTTAAACTGTGTACTCCCATAATCTCCAAAGAGGTCAAAGATTTCTCCATTCATTTAACAACATGGGAGAGTTTCATATGGCAGTCTAGTTTAGCAGGATAATAATGGTGAGAATTTTCATGCAAGCAAAGTATTGCTAAGTTGATATTTCAATTGTTTGACAATAAATTTCTATCTAAATAAAGTGGATATAGCAAATGGTAAAATAATTTAAATTAATAAAAAAAATTCCAGCTTTTCTTTAAAATTCTCTGATTTTTCCAGTATAAAAAAAAATCCCCTGATAATTCCAGGTTTTCCAGGTGGGTGGCCACCCTGATAATTCAAACAAGTATGTGAGCCATTAGTTATGCTTTCAGGCCCTGTGGCCAGAATTTTTACGAGCAATCTGCAACAAAACTGTCCAGCACTAATATCTTTCCGTAAGATACTTTTAATAATAACAAAGATACATGTTACTAATTTAAAATAACAACAGCATTGTGTTAACAAAAAAAAATTACATAATTTTTTTTAAATTGAACATCTTATAATTTTTTATTCTAATATTATGAGTGATAGTCTTGCATTTTGTTAGGGGGGGAGGGAAACGTAGGAATTATTTCCTTCTTTGCATTTTGTAAATAATTATCACAATAACAAAAAATTAAAAATCATAAAATCTGTAGAAGTAATTACCGGAAAAAGACAATGAAATCAAGCGTGTTTTGTTTTGAGATTAGGTTGTTGTAATAAATAATATCGTACAAAAAATATCGGATTTAAAAACTATGGAGAAATTAATAGCAATAACTGCCAAACATTCGATAGAATTATTGCCTCAAAAAGTAAATACTCAAATGCAAGATTCGAATTTTCCACATTGAAATATATCAGGATATTTAAAATCCACATGAAAATCACTACAGTCAAAACATTACATCGATTTACGATACAATCTGCGTAAATTGAGCGCTTCAAAAAGTGATTATGTAAATGCATGATTCAAATTTTACGTGTAAATTAATCTAGAAAAGAATAATTTTTTAAAAAAACTTTTCAAAAGAAAATTCTTTCTGCAAGAACACTGTAACGCTTTGTCAGAATGTAAACATGTCACTGCAAATCTGCCACAGGGTTTTCAGACATTGTAGAGGTTTTTATTTCACTGAACACTTTTCTACGACAGAATAATTTGTTTGAGATACAATGGTAAGTACCAAGGGAAACTCACCGGCTGAGCACTGGGACTGTTGAGTTATAGATTTTACTCTTTCATCTTCAATTATCTCCTCTGTGTCATAAAATGGAGTTGAATTGTCATAAAAAATAGAAGAGCCTCCAAACGATCTCCGCCTCAGCTGCTCATTATTATTTAGATTGTCCGTACTGGAAATAACTACAGAGTTACGAAAACGAGGCACTGAAACGAAAATAGGAATGGAAAATTACACCTAGGTGATGCACTGAAGGAAATTATGTCTTATTTATGAGACGATATACTCACTCTTGATTAGTTGTTGAAAACTTATGGAACGATCACAGATCTGATTTTGACTCGGAGTTATATCCAGACAAGGTTTGTTTCCTACTCCCATCGAAGACATCTCCTCGAGTCTTAAATCTTAAAAGAAAGGAGTCATAAAATATTGAGATAAAATTGTTGAACAGGAAAAATCTGAAAGCCAAATATTATGTTTAATTTTCTTTGGAATATATGCATTTAATTCGCCTACAACTAACTAGGGTTGAAACATTTTTTCTTTCTACTTAAGAATATATATATACAGTGAACTCTTGTTACTACGATATCCGATACAACAATAACTCCCTGTATTACAATAATGTTTCGTGGTCCCGACGAACTTGCATATGAATTAATGTTACCCACCTCTCAATAATCCGATATTCTATACAGCAATAAACCCCTGTAAAACGATTTTTTTTCTTTAAATTTCAACCTTACTTTCTCCATTTATTATTGGTTTTCAAATAATGTAAAAAATCTTACTTTATCATATTTTGCCATTTTTTTCGGTCTTTCTCAAGACCGAATCAACATTGAGTCAAAAGACTTACTTTTGATTATGTACTTATCTTATTTCTTTTCACCACAGTGAATGGCTTTTGTATTCAGATTTCAACACTCCATCCTTGATGTACATAAACCACCCCCCAAGACCGACCATTCTTAGAATTGCCTTCCTTATCTCTTAAGAAGTCACAGATGTAACATTCCTATCTGATTTCAAATTTAACCATAATTACCACTCCACCAATTAAAATTTTACATAATATATAAATAGATTCAAAATTAATAACATTAAAATAAAAAAAATCTTATTATGTCCCAAACTGTGTAGGCCTTCAATATAATAATATTTCACTCTACAACAATATATTTATTTGCTTCCTAAAATATTGTTGTAGCAAGGTTTTACTGTATACATATATATACATAAAATCTCTTCGAGTTTTAAATCTTAAAGGAAACAGGTCAAATATTGAGATAAAATTTGTGAACAGGAAAAATCAGAAAGTCATATTTTATTTATAGGACTGCCAGTCAAATGTTTAATTTTTTTGTTGTAATATATGCAGTTAATTCAACTTCAATAAACAAGGGTTGAAACATTTTAATCTCTCTACTTCAGAATAAATATTCAAATTAAATGCACAGAGTGCAAAATAAAAATGAACACCTGAATAACTTTGGACCCATTGATCGGATTTGGTTATTCTAATATGCAATTCCAATTGTTCGAGCATACTTAAAATAACAAATACTTTTCTCTGAATTAACATACACAACTATTTTTCTGAACTCATATATATATAGAGGGAGTAAAAATAAGGAGGGGTACAGCCAAAATCTAGAAAATATAGTCCCAATATTTTTGTCAAGAAAATGCATAAATTCTGGGGTTCTTTTTACACATTCCACTATTTTTCTAGAACTATTAAGCAAATCAAAAAAGATTTACATATAATTACAACACTCATTTATTATTTTATTCAAACAAAATGCCATAAAAAATAATTTATTTTTTATTATTTTAATTTATAACAGTTAAAAAAGAATCTGNGGAAAGCATTTCCGACCCCACATTGCCATATGATTTTGAGTCGTCAGAATGCCCCCTACCCCTCTTAGAAGTTCTGAAACGCTTAACTGAGACACCCTGTATATTTATATATATATATAGAGGGAGTAAAAATCTGGAAAATATAGTTCCAATATTTTTGTCAAGAAAATGCATAAATTCTGGGGTTCTTTTTACACATTCCACTATTTTTCTAGAACTATTAAGCAAATCAAAAAAGTTTTACACAAAAAAATATGAATGTTGGTTATATGGAACATAATATGGAACATATATGAATATGAAATATGAATATGGAACATAATTACAACACTCATTTATTATTTTATTCAAACAAAATGCCATAAAAAATAATTTATTTTTTTATTATTTTAATTCATAGCAGTTAAAAAAGAATCTGCAAGATTTTTACATCCTCAAGTAGCAAAAAACATTAGATAACATTACAAAATCAGAAATTCTAACCTTATTTGGACAAATTTCTAATAGTAGAAAAATACAAAAGGTCATTGCTTCATCAGCATCATATAACGCTAAATTCTATACAAAATAATATTATCTAGCATTCACCATAATAATATTTTGCACTGCTTTTGATGCTAATTAGTTATAAATTTTATGTTTTATATCTTGCACCATTTTTTATTTTTGGAATAAAGTAAGAGGAAGATTTAAATGGTATAATTTTACTTAATTTTCTGTATTGTGAAGCAGTGAAACATAGAACAATAGTTAATTAACAATACGGAAATAATAAAATTATACAACCAAATTCTGTTATCATCTGTTTTCTTCCCTCTTATTTCATTCATATTTTTTTCCCTACTGTGTTTTAAGATATAGCTATGCATAATTTATTTCCATAAAACAAAACTGTAGCTTTATTTAAAGATTTAATTCAACGTAAAATAAAATTGAATACAAAAGAGAAAAAAAGTACTTCTGTTTCTCTCTGCTTGTTTCCAGAGCAGTCCAGTGATTTCTTCCACCCATGCATTCTTAATCTCTGCAGATGGTGCCTGCAGTACTAACAGGTCTTGCACCTTGCACTTTCGAAACCAAATCTCAAATTTAGTTGGACTTTCACCCACTTGGGCCGTCAATCCTAAATCAGATGTCTACAAAATAGAAAAATATTAGCCTCAATTAAGATTTTTTTTACTCACCTCTAATTAGGTTGAAAAGGATTCACTTTGAAAGAAACTGTGTATGAGAAAACACATACAAGGTGTTCCTTAATAACAATATAGAGTGTTTGACAATAACAACATACCAGGTGTTTTTTATGAATGAGAAAACATAATATAATTATTTTGAGTAGTGAACATCATATATTTCTCCTGGATCTATTATAGTGTTAATGGAACCTTATAAAAGAATGCATCTTTCAGATCTCAGAGATTTGTTCTGAATTGACAATATGCTATTCGATAATTTTTATCTTCTTGAAAATTGGCATGGAGATAATTTAATAATTAATTTACTGAATGAGACTTTCTACCCAAGTTATTGCGTATATTGTATTTAACCACTCAAAAGTCAGACCTTCTCGAAAAAGTTCAAACGTTTTGACAATTCAAACGAAAAAATCAAATGTTCTGACAGTTCAGCCAAATTATCTGAAGAAATCTTTTTTCCTGAAAGTCCTGATAATGCTGGCACAAGAATTCAGATGCGTTTGAAAAACACAATCAATTCAAATTAATATAAAATTCGTAGACACAGTTTTTGATAATGACGCTACTAATCATATATACTTAAGATTTCAGCAGCAATAATGCCCACTCAGATTTTAACTGATTATTGACAAAAATACTAACATAAATAAAAGGGAATTTTCCGGAACTGCTTTCTACTTATCTATTTTATAGTAACACATGCCACATCTATTTCATAGAAAAAGGGGATAAAACTAACCTTCATGCTGCTCTTGTACTGGTAGTAGTCGTTAGAGTCGGGTGGACTTATGGCTTTGCTGAAAATGATGAGATCTTCAAAGAGAAACACTCGCCGGAGAGTCTTCCGCTTTCCACCTTTGCCCACCAGAAACTCATCCTGCCTCAAAAGTCGACCCTGCTCTTTGATGTTCACCTAGAAAACAAAAATCATTATGAGATAGGGAAAAGACATTTTTATATTCTGTAGAGCAGCAATTCTTAAATTCTTTAGTTGGGTGAACACTGAATTTTTTAAAAAACGTCCATGCCCCAGTATCTACTACATATGCATAATTTGTGTTGCATTGAATGTTTTTTCTTTGTCAACAAATCTGTAATTTGATTGTCCTTAAACTACTCCGCCAAACATTCCATAAACTTATGGATTTTGATATCTGTAACATATTGGTATATCATCCAAAGGATATTTAGATCTGTATTAGTGGCGTTTGGATATACCTGGGATATTGGTGGATGTATCGGCAGCGTCTACGTCAAACTCCTGCTGCCTTAGGGTTGGAAACCATGGATGTAAAGCTATACAATTACCAGTTAACCAAATTATATAATTGACCTATCAATCAGCGAACTATGCATTTTTTGACAAATTAACTAAAAAAAATTTTTTTCCTCATAAAAATACAATACTTTTTTAATTAAGTTTTCTTGGTTGTTTAGGAGGTGTTTTCCAACCTGACCAGAAAGCACAAAAGAGTAGCTTGTGCTATTGTCACATCAAATTGATTGAAAGAAATACAAAATTGGAACAACTCTTAAGTTTAACATGTAAATAACACATAAAACTATAAGGAACAATTAGCTAAAAACTGATATTTATTTTATCTAATAAAACAATATAGTAGGACTGGAAACATTTTCATAATTTATTTGCATTCGATCATTTTATTTAGAAAACTTACATCACATTCTTTCAAAGCATCCATGGCTAAGAGATCATTGCCGTGACGCAACTGGAATCGAACCATCTCTTCAGCTGCCTAAAATGCACAACAAGAAAGTGTATTGAATATTGTATGATTCAAGAATGTTTTGAAAGTAATATTATTGAATGAAAATAAACTTTTTGGAAAAAAAGTACAGTTGTTAAAATAAGAAAAATATAATGAACTTTTAATAGATACAGGGTAACAATCATTGAATCTATATGAAAAAAAATAACACCAATAAATTGTTTAAAAACTACTGAGTGCACAAATTTTATTCAACATGTTAACTTTACTACATATACTCGGATTAAGGTTATGACATGTTTGATATGCCTGCCATCATTGGTTATGATGTGGTGCAGACAAATAGCAAAATTCTGCATAACACGCTAAAGTTTTGAAATATTGTTGCCGTGACCTTTTTACTTGCATATGGCCAACAACAAGAAATTGCATGCACATACTAATTCCCACCATGGCTTGTAGTCAACCATGAAGTTTGAACTTCTTGACGCAAACAGTTCAGAAGTTTTGAGTTTTATTTCATATAGTTCAATAACTGTCACTCAGTATCATGATTGAATTCTCACAAAATGTCTACATTCCTCGTGGTTCAAAAGCAATAATTAATATAGCTGATAATTTGAATTAAGAAGTCTTAACACAAAAGGTCACTTCGTCTGAACAAATATAACTCTTCTGAGTGATTTTGCCCTTCCTACTTTCAAAATATGGTGAGAAGGCCGAGTTGCAATGCAGAAAATATGGTCACAATAATTCAGTCCAGATTGGTGATATTGGAATTTCTATATTGCAGACCATAGTCAGAAAATACCAAACATTGATGACCTATGCATTGTGATATTAATTTTTTCAACTACATTTCCTTCTTTAAGCTTTGAACATTCATTATTTTCATTACACATTTAAAGAAATAAATATATATTTTTTAAACTTTCCTAAATTTGTTAAGTCTTTTTTTTACTAAGAAATCAAACCAATGTTGATAAAAAATTTTAATCAACAAACTAACATATTGGAATTTTCAACAATTTAAGGAGATATGATTGATGTCGTAAATCAGGAATAGAAATTAGGTTAAACAAATTACATAAATAAAATAAATTGTAAAAATTCTCATTTGTTTAAAAAATAGGTTGAATAAATACGTTGTTCATTTTATATTGCACTCCTAAATTTTTTGAGATTTACTTCTTTACACTTTAGTCGGAATCTGAAACTTTAAGATTAATAGCAAAGAAATCAAGTTGGGAAAGTTTCAGTATATACTTTACAAAGAGAACAAAAAAAAAAAAAAAAAAGAAACAACAAAAAATTGTCCTAAGATATAGCATCATATATCATGTCAAAAGTGGTTCCACAATTTAGAAAAGAACTATATAAGTTTAGGAGTTAAACAGAACAAATAGTTTACCATATATCAAGAAATAATATTTTCAAAAATGAACAATAGTATTCAAAGAAATTAAAACAAAAATAAATCTAAGTTATAGAAAAAAATTAAAGAAAAAAAGCAAGAACATTAAAAAACCTTTGATTTAAACCACATTATCAGAATTATATTTTATTATTTATAGGAGGTACAACATGTGCAAACAATGCATGGCAATTTTAAAACCTTTGTGAAAGAAAATGTGCTAAGTATACACAGCAAAGCTTTTTCCTTAGAAGCAGGTACAAACAAAAATACATAAAATATATGTTATATATTTATCAAATTAATTCAATTTTATTAAATTTCAAAAAATCATTAAAAAAAGAGTATATTCATTCAGAAAAATGAATTTTCAGAATGGAATTTTGTAATTTTAAGGTACCCCTTACATAATTTAAAGTGTGTCCACAAATTATTAAAATTGCATTTTAATAATCTGAACAGAAGGCTATTAAAGATTATTTGTTTTTATGAACTATTATCATAATCTGGGCATGATTTCCTTTCTTAAAATCGGTAACAAAATTTGCTAAAAAATAGTAGTACTAGCAAAATCATGGTTCATACAAGCATTTTTTAAAGAAGTATTTCAATACCTTATGTCGTTCAAAGAATTAAATATAATCCTTGCTGTATGACTTCTTGCAATGAATTGATCACTGAATGGTAAATATTAAATATTTATACCTTAATAAAAATTTAAATATTCAGATGCATGAGTTGGAATAAGCCTGTTATAACATCGAATTTAAAATGAAGTGATTTTAAAAATGATGTGGAAATCCCTGGGCCTAAAGTAATAAGATTAACTGTAACAATTATCACAAAAATTATTAGAAAATGATATTGATTTACAACAGCATAGTAAAGAATTGAGTACATCAAAATGTAATAAGTCAAATTTGAAATTAATGTAACATCGTACTAAAAACATTATTATGTGAAAATTATGAAGAAAAAAAATTTAATGGAAGTGAATTAACATTATTGTAGATAATGTTGTAATAGTCATGAATCATGCGTATCAAAAAGTGAATTCTCAAATTCAAACTTCGAGTGTCCCAATATTATCTTATTAAAAATTCTTAATGTTGAAAAATCATGTAATCACTGAAAAAATGATTAATAAGAGGATTTACAATTAAATCCTTGTTAATTGAGAGTGTCAAAAAGAGACAATTTTAATTCGAGGGTCATAATAACATTGCATTAAAAACATTGGAAGTTGAAAAATCTTTTGAAAAAAGACAGAGAAACAAATAAAAATCCAGATCATCAGTAGTTACCAGCAATTTTTGCTATTGCGTTTTACTGTAACTAGTATTTTTTTTTTTTATACTAGCAATTTGCTACTTGCTTGTCCATGAAATCGCGTCAACAATAATAAAAAGCTTATTATAATAATAGGTAATTGCAAGACCTCAATTCATCAAATATAGTTATTAGACATTAAAACAAATAATATCTCGTTTTATCAGTGGTATAAGAAACTACATTTTTTCGTACTGACCACAACTACTTTATTACAATTGTAATTAACTACAACCATTTTTTTTATTGTAAACTATGTTCCTAATGTTGTCACTATTTTTAACTACTTAACTTCTTTTGGGTAACAAATTTTGCTGAAGGATTCATTTAAATTTATGCACAAAATTAAAGAAGGAAAGAACATCGAAGGAAATTTTTTTTTTTTTTTTTTAAGAAAAATAAATTAATTTACCTTTCATGCTTTCAACACTGAATATTCATTTTAAAAAAAGTTAGAAAATCATCAAAACTTTATGGTTAAGATTTTAAAATATAAGAGTAATATCATGGGAGAAATTCTTTACAGAAAATTCATAAGTATAGAAAAAATGTATTCAAAGTATAGAAAAAGTGAGTTCAGTTAAAACTAGAATAAGCCATGAAGTTTTAAAAGCTGGAAAATCTCAAAATATCAAAATGCAAACAAATTTCCAGCTGATTACTCGAGATTACACAAAGCAGGAAGTTATTCTACAACAAAGTGTTAATATTTTGGAGAAAAAATTTTTTTCTCAAAATTTGAAACTACATCCATATATTTATTCTAGGTTCACCAGAATGAACTTTTCTCTAAACTTTAATATACCATTTGAAATGAAATAGAATTCGGAATGAAAAGTTTCCCTTATGGTATAGCATCCACTTAAGTAAACTTAACCAGAGAAAAAAAAAGAGTAAGTAAAATACATAATGTCTGCCGATGGACTTTCGTAGGATTTGAACCAGATTCGATAAATTAGCGGCATTTAAACCTTAAATTTTATTAAACTGACGTTAAAAACAATTGATTTTTTGGCTTTTGGCACTGTATACTACGGAATATGAAAAAATTAGTGATTACAATAGTTTGCAGTTGCTATTGTGTCTATCACTGAGCATTTTAAAGTGCCTAAAACAATAAAAACAAATACCTTTAAGTTATTATAATGTTCACTATTAATTTGTGGACATTCTTTGATAAGTTCCTTCAAAAGGAGTGCATATTTTCCTATCCGCTGCACTGGCTTCAACAGATAGCTTGCTAAATTCATTTTGTCTCCGAGCTCTTGTTGCTTCTCCTGGAATAAAAATAAATTACATCTCTTTTAGAAAATAAATTTTTGAATCTTTTTGTCAGACATATATGCGACAAAAATTTAAAAAATACACATTAGATGTATAGTTTATAGATAGATGTATAGTCAGATGTATAGTTGACTCCACCTCCTTGGACGCTGAGTTCATTTCAGTTCAGGAGTAAGAAGAGAAACATCTCTGCCCTTGAAATTGAGGTAACCCTTAATGCGTGCTAAACACAAACAGTGAATTCTTTTTCAGTCACTTACTTCACTTTATCATCTGCTATTATAACTTTTGTTTCTTTTGCTAATGAAATACATTTTAATTTAAGAACTCCTGTTTTCCCAGCAAAATGTCTCAAAAAGGACAAACTATTAATTCAAAAGAGAGAAATATCGTAAAAAATGGAGCGACATATCATCAAATTTATGAAATATTTAATGTTAAAAAAATGCAGATAAGGTTTGCGAAATAAATATAATTGCTATACGATCCCCAAATAGCAACCTTGTTCAAGATTACTAACAATCTTCTTCCAAAAATAGGGAAATAGTATCGTCGTATACCAAGTGATGAAGGCGGAGCCAAGTGCCAACTCCTGGTGAACGAACTCTAAACCAAATTGTTGATCCTGAAATGTTATTTTAAAACAATACATTCTTGATGGAAAAAAATAGCATGAATAATCACACTGTTTTCTCCAATGAAATTAAAATAAATACCAAATTAAAAAGAAAACATTGAGATGCATTGCAGGGTTGCTACTAAAATAGATAAAATTTTTACAAAACAGAATTGACTTTTAAGAATAATTAAAAACAGAGATGGTTGTAAGCAACTGTGGAAGTTGGTGAACAGAGCCTCCTAGTAAATTAAAATGATTCTAAAAAACTTTTAGGAGTCATGTAAAATAATAATAAATAATAATTACAACTAAAAAAATTATACTGTGCATAAACTAAACTAAAATCGCCACTACCAACAGTTGTAATCTAAATAAATAATCATTAAATTTTGATTCATTGAAAAATTGCTTGACGGTTCTTAATTTTTTAAATTTTTTTTTCATTTCAGTTCCAAATTGTAACAACTTAAAAAAAAAGTTTTCAACTGGTTGTAAAGATAGCCTTTACATAAAAGTGACGATCATGAAATATTTTTGGTTAATTATACATAAAACTGTCGAAATTCTTTTTATTTTTTAAGGCTCTTAAACATTAAAATTAAAAATTAGCTGTTTGGGGTTTAAAAAAGTATCAATTTCAAAAAAAATTCAGAAATTTAGGAAAATTATTGTGGGACATGTGCCCCTAGGATGCTACGCCTATGGATCAGATGGAAAAGAAAAATATGCAGGTTTAATATTTTAGAAATAAACTATTTAATCAAAACATTTGAAATGTTTAGAATTCTTGTAGGATGCCTTAAATAGAGACAAACATATATTTCAAGTACAGTTGTACTTAATTTTTTTTTTAGATCTCCTATTTAAAAATAAAGCAAAATTCAAATTGTGAACTATTTGGTTCCTTGTACCCACATGTATGGTTTGTTTTGAGAAATTCATAGCAAATAAAGTCAAAAGAGCAATATTTGCTGCTTATAAAAGTATTTTATACTTAAATGATGTACAGTAAAATATGTTTGCTTTAATTTAAAGAACCCCAAGACAAAAAATTACATAATGGTTTCAAGCTTTTCATATCTAAAATAGTTTTCTTCTCGTACTATCTATTAAGTGAAATTCATAGCAAATAAAATCTTCTATTGTTTTTACATTTCCCTAGTGATTTAGTGTATGACAATGTAAGCTAATACACTACTTAAAAAAGCACCTTACTACCTTACTTATTACCTTACTACTTAAAAAAGTACCTTAAAAAAGTTGTTTCCATATTCTGCCATCAAACTATCTGATTTAGGTTTATTCTTATTGTACAATGCATACAAGTAGAATTGGCTTTCCTAAAATAGAGAGAAACTGATATTATTAAATACACAAGTAGACAAACAGTTTGAATGCATAACAGAAGCACACACTGAATATACAATAACGCATTCTACAAAATAGTTAAACACAAAGTCAAATGCTACAAAAATAGTTAAACACTAAGTCAAATGCTGCAAAAATTGTCAACCACTTTTTAACAAGCTTTTTTTTCTAACCAAATTAATAGATATTCATCCAAATTAATAGATATGTAACGATCACGGCCGGATTATCCTATAGGCACACTAGGCACGTGCCTAGGGCCTACGAAATTCAGGGGCCTACGAAAAACTTGGGAGAAAAAAATTTATTGACCAAAATAATTTAGCTTTAAAAACAACAAGTGTATTTTGCACAAAATTATGAAGATACAAATAAAAATATAATATTTTTCGGTAATAAATTATTTTGCAGAATCTTATGATCTAATATATTACTTTTTTGCGATTTTTGGATTCAACGAAATCTTGTATTATGCTGTCGAATTCCAAACTACGCAAAATGTCGTATTCAATAGACATAAGTGCGAGAGATGCCAAACGATCTTGATTCATTGTTGAACNAGTTAACAAAATATTTGGATTTTTTAAAAATTTTTTGACAGATACTAAGTCAAATATTCTGCTCTCATTTTTTTTAAAAAAAAGGATTATTTTAATTAGAAGGATGAATGTTATAATGTTGTTGAACTAAAATAAGGAATTCTACCCATGGGTTTTTTGACAATCTGTCTGCTTTTTTCTTTCTACTTATCCTCCTTTCTCGCTTAAGTGACGTGTATATGATGTCAGACGATGCTTTTCTATTACATTTTTAGGATACTATGATATTTTTAGTAATTTTGAAGGAATTATTTTTGAATTTTTCAACAGACATATAATTTAAAATTTTCTTTTATGTTAAGTTTGACAATTTAAATGTATTTACTACCAGGTAAAAGTAAATTTAACTTTTAAAAGTTTTCAATTCAGAATTACTAATTTTGATTCCAAATTTATGTAGTTTTCAATTTGTTTTTCAAACCTTTTCCAATGAACTGAAGATAGCGAAGATTGCCCTAGATTGCGAAGCAATCTAAAATAAACTGAATGAGCAGTTCCGAGGATTGGCAAGCGATTTAAAATATAGGTACTGTAAAAAATAAAATATGGTATAAGTCTAAAATAGACTACCTAAGTAATATATAGGCTCGGGTACTAAGAAGTCCAAAGTGGCAAGAGCAAGCAAAACTATCTTAGATCATGAAGTAATATGAAACTTCGGAAGCAATTTTGAGAATAACCATTGGCAGCATGCAAGGAGAGGTGCCTCTCATCTCGCTAAGAACATAGTTCTTGGTTTTAAGTGTTCTTGGCTTACTCCTGGACATTTTCCTGTCTCATTGCATTTTATTGTTCATTATTAGTTTCTCCATCTTCCATCAAAGATATATATATAAATACAGTAGAATCCTGATTTTAAGTTTTCCATCGAACTAGTGTTAAAAAACGCAAAATATTTCAAAAAATGGAGCTGGCGAGATGAGCTACAATAAAAAAAAGTGTAATCTTTACATGTTTTTTTTTGTTTTCAGATACAACCTCAACAATATCCCCTTCAATACGGCTTCACCGTTTACGTTCATAAATGTTCCCACTCTTTCAACAGAGCAAAAATTAAGCACTTTTAAGGACTTTTTTTGAAGAAATTAAGGAGTTTTTTGAAAAATTAAGGATTTTAAAAAATAGTGTGATTGTTTATCATTGAATATACATATGCCACCACTGACAGTGCAAATTATTTACCTTCCAAAAAAAACAATAAATAAATAAAAAAAATTTTTTTTATTATAATGTTAGCACTGATATAATAGCATTAATCAACTGGCTCACCAAAGAATTACCAGGCAAATCTGCTTATCCTTAAGAAATAAAAATAATAGCGTAACAATCTTAAACTTTAAAATTTTTTTTTACATTGCAACAAAACAAATTATAAATAGTTATCAAACATTTAACTTTCTTGCTAAAAGCAAATTGTGCTTTCTTATTTAGTACCCAGGAAAAAAAATTAAGCATTTTTGAAACAATACTTGGTTTTTACCAATAAACCCCAGGTTCTTGAAGAAAAACCTAGGTGGGATGGGATTTTTCAAACACTGTTTCTTACAAATCTGTTTAATTTTTAGTACAATCATGAATTTTAAAAAATGTTATGCTTTCTATAAATTTACAGTTACTTATTACACATTGAAATATTATACAAATTTATTTAATTAGAGATTTTAGGAAATAGTTTTTGTTATGGATTCTAGTTTAATCTTTTTTTCTGTGATACTTCTTTTCTTAGCGTTTTACTTAATCCCTATAAGCAGATGCATTACTAGTAGAACTTAATTTCTTGAATTCTGTCAATTTTGAAGGTTAATGCGAGTCTTCTAATTAGGTACCTTAAAACTGCCCCCCCTTACCCCCAAAAAAGGAGTACTATCTCTTCCATGTGCAGTATTCCCCTTGTCCATGCTATTCTTTTTTTTAGAATGCTTCACCTCATAAAGTATCATTCTAGGCAAAGGGGAGAATATATTAATGAAATAACCAATATATGAATGAAAAGTCATGCTTTCTTCCCCTTGCCTGTAGCCCCCCCTACACACATTAATTTTTGTCTCTCTAAAATGCTTTACCGTCGATGCATGGCCTACTTCTAAGTGTTAAAAGAAATTCATTTTGTTTAAAAAAATTGTTCCTATCAACATTATAATCAAAATTAAGGACTTTTAAAAACCTTGAACCAAAATTAAGTACTTTTAAGGGCCCTTATTTTCAAAAATAAAAATTAAGCAGTTTTTAAGGACCGTGGGAACCCTGATGTTTCAGAGCATTTATACTTTCAAACTCTCGGTCATTTGTGGGTATATCTTCTGATATTTTTTGCTCATCTTCATTGTTTTCATCAATATCATCAATTCATCAATATATCGTATTGGGATGTGTGTTACAATCTATATCCATGACATCGACTTTGGAAGATCTTCAGCCCCTCAATTTTATTCCAAGGGTCCAATGATCTCGTTGGACAATGAGAAACAATTAACTCCAAGAAACATTATTGAACCCATTCGACATTTATTCAATGTTGTTAAAATCATGTTCAGATTTTCTAGAACATTAATTTCTGCTTCAGAAGCATTTTGCAGGTCACTGGAATCAAGAAGAAATGATTACCCAACCAGTTAATTAGTGTAACGTTCTTTAAACGATTGGATTATTGCAAGAATCAAAAGGTTGAAATTTGCTACAAAAATTCAACTTGCAAATTTTACAATTAATTTAGGCCGGGATAGCCTAGTTGATAGAGTGCTTGGATCTTGTTCGGGACATAGTGAGTTCAAATCCCGCAGCCCGAAGAATCCCCGTGTATTAAATGGTGACTGCAGCAAGTTTTTCAAAAAGAAAACTTCCAGTGAAAAGTGGTTAAAATGTGTTTATTCAATCACTAAAAAGTTTTGATGTTAAAAAGCTTTTACTTACATGTTTTAGGAAACATTTCCCTATAGAATATGGGTCTGATTCACACTGTTCAAGCTCTTGTAAGAAGTAGCAACTGTGGAACTCAAAGATTTTCTCAATGTTACCAAATACTACATTTCTTTGACTGCGCAAAGATTGGCAAACATCCTTAGTCTGAAGCATTGGTACATAATTCTGAAAGAGGGAAAAAAAAACGCATCTTTTCAGAATTTAAATATTGAAAGACTATTTAGCAGAATGAAAGAAACAAAAGTGGTATGAAATATTATACTCATTTGTTAAACGGATATTTAAAAGTTCTATATGTTTTAATCATTTTCTGATGGTTACATTTACATGAAAAGTGATTTTGAAAAATACAAAACAGTTAATTCAACCATTTGAATGGATTTGGGTACAGCATAAAGCAGGGCTCCAAATTAACGGTGAACTTGTGGTGATAGGTTCGCCGCTCATCGTAAAATCAAGTTTATTTCATATTGTTATCTGTTTGTCTTTAATCAATTGTGTTTTTACTTATTTTTGAAGTGAACTGAATTAAGAGTTCTGACGTCATATTCTTAGAATTGTATAAATACCAGCACGCACATGACAGCCTGTCAGTATTTCTCTCATCACCTGCTGTGATGATGCTTCTTGTAAATCAAACCAACTTGTATATAAATGTAAATATGTTTAATAAAATATTAGTATCTCAAAGGAGCTATCTTCGCTTACCTCAAACTACTGATCTGGGACCAATAAAATGAAAGACTAAACTACCATAAATTACGGGTGTTTTCCTAATATAGAAACTAGTATAAATAGAGGATATACTACTTTAGTCTGTTTTCGTGTAAAATCATATCTTTCATCATAATTGTGAACATTATAAATTCTCTATACTTTAAACTTTTCTTATTCAATTTAGATTTAATATGTTTATAAAAAACATATAATTAAAGTCAAGCAAAAGGAAATGAGAATGTAATATCTTTGAATTACTGTCCTTTTGGATCAGTTCAACTCTTGTAAAGTATCAACTATGAAAAAATCAGCTTGATTTATTATCTAACCCAAGATTAATCTAGAACGGAGTTCTAGACTAATCAGCCATGGTCTGTTTTGGCAAATATGTGAAAATGAGGCTTTGATTTTTGTGAGAAAAAAAAGCACAAAACCATGTCTTTCAAAGAGTTATAGTTTTAAAGTTATGAATTGATGATGTATTTGACTATGTTTTCAAACAGAGAATTTTGTGAAAAATCCATTTTCAAAATACAAAATGTTGAGAAGGATCAATTAAAATAAAAATTGTGGCGAAGGTGCAAAATAAAATATTTTATGAGGGGTTCTTTAAAGCAGTGGTCTCCATGGGGCCTTATCTCGAGAACTAAAAGTGAATCAAAAATTTTTTTTATTAATTCTATGGAAAAAATAATTTTTAATAATTATTTTTTATTATTTTATTTAATAAAAGTCGAAAAATTTTGAATTGTAAGTTAGATAAATTTTTACATCAATTAAAAGAATGTAATTTTATATGGAAAAATACAAAATTTGAGCAGAATAAGTCAAATAGTTTTTGCAAAATCGAATTTTAAAAAAGCGGCATTTTTAAAATTCGATTTCTTAAGAACTATTTCCCCGACTTCATTCAAATTTTGAATTTTCCTTTGTAAAATTACTTTCTTTTAAATGATGGAAAAAAGTTGTACACTTAACAATTCAAAATTTTTGAGACTATTATTAAATAATATTGAAAAAAAAAACACTAAATATTTAGTAAAAGTCTTTTTTTGTGTAGAATTATCTTTTGGTAAATGAATTTTATAATTATGTGCAAAAATTTTTCAATTCACTTAAAAAGTAAATGGGGAAATATACAAAAAATAAAATTAATAATAAGGGTTTCAATCTTCAGATCACTCTACTGGGATCATATTTCCCAGCAATTACGCCTTATATTCTGATAGTCAGAAATCCGAATCTGTTGGAAGAAAGTACGTGTGTTCAGAGAAAATAGGTTTTTGTGTCTGAGTTCGTAACTTTTTTCTTATTGTCTGCATTTATTATTTAGCGTATTTAAGGTCACCCCATTGAACTATTAAGACTGCCACCTAGTACATTTAAATCCAATGATTAGATCAAAGGTTATTCAGGTTGTTTCGTTTATTTATTCTGGACATTGCACGTAAGAATGTCTATTAGTAAACAAAAGTTACATTACATTTTTTAAAATTCTGGTCTAGTAACACTTAACTCAAAAATGTTAAAACTACCCAAAAATTTTAAAACCATTAAAATTATTTGCTTCTAAATATTCACCAATATTTAACTACACTATTTTTTAAGCAATGAAAAGACAAATGCACCGACAATTGCTAATATGTCGCTTGACTAAAAATGGAAATTCGCTATTTTTCAAAATGTTAAATATAATTAATACTAATTGTTGAGAGTGCAGTGGCAATTGTCCCTTAAGGTCAGCTCATGCTTGTCTGGAGTGTAAATATAAAATGAATGATGAGAGATAAGTTTGCTGAGGCATTCAGAACATTTAGTTGTCGAAGTCAGCAGGATGTCAGTGACTGTGGACTAGTTGCACACCAAAGGGATCTAATCAGTGCTGGATTACCCATTATGGTTATTATTTATAAGTATTATTATAGTTTATGTATTATAAGATTTATCAATGTTTTTTAAGTTCCAATTTGTCATTTAGATTTTAAACGAATCAAGAGTGAGCAAAGAAGCGCCATGTTTCAAAAACGATTAGACATGTTAAGTTTGATGTTTATCGAATCAGATGTTCTCTGTGAAATCATTATAGATGAGTTTATTGATCGCAAGAGAAGAAAAAAAGATTTTTGAATACCAATTTTATAGTAGCTTTGATTTTGTAAAATGTAAAAAACTCACATTTTTTCAACATAAAATTTCACATTTTTTCAAAATTTTTTGATCATTTTTTAGTTTAATTTAACAAAATAAAGTAAAATTTAATTTATTATTATTTATTTTCATTTCAAATATGCTTTCTTAATTGAAAAGATGTATAAATACTATTATATTTGAATAAATAAAAAAACATATGAGAAAAAATATTTAATCTAAGGGCCCCAAAAATTTGAATGGCCTAGGGCCCCACGTACGCATAATCTGGCACTGGATCTCATTAGATGAGAAATTTATTAATTAAATAAAAAGTCAGGTATAAAATTAATGACAAAAATAATTACCTCAATGATGTATGCTAAGGACTTGACATAATCTCGTTCAGTTTGAATCATTTCCCTCACAATCATCATCAGTATTCGACTGAAAAGGTAATAAATAAAAACTCTAAAAAATTGATGCACACTTTGTTTTCATAAAAATTTGAAAAAAAAAAATGTAATAAAGACATGTAACACATAAAAAAAAAGCCAATCATAATGGCACACAAAAAATCATGTATACAAAGACTGTTATTATTAAAAATATTTTCACATTTTCAAATTCTAATTGACCATAAAACTTTTCAACCTACAGAATACCCAGAAGAGAGGAATCCTGGAAACTGCATAATTTTAGAGTCAAGTAATACTTTGAAATATAAAATTTAAAAGCAAGTTTAGATAAAAAAAAATATCTGCAAATACTATAGTTGAATTAATTGGTATGAATCCATACTTATTCGTGACATTTTCTAGGGGCGACGATTTTATTGAAAGTAGTTCTTCAAAATCGGAACAAGATGCACATCTCGTTAGATGAGCAGGCTTCTCTAATTCGTCCTGTTTCGATCCAGTGCTGTGAAAAAGGCAAAGACTATTTTTAGATAATGAAAAAGAAAAGAATATAAAAATTTGTTCTGAAACCCAAATGCATATACATTTAAATTTTAACAAAATTTTGCGCATAAAGATAAAAACAAAAGATGATTAAGAAGAAGATGTGGCTGATTCAACTTAAATAAATTTTACATAACTAAAATTAAATAATTAAAATTAGATAATGGAAAAGAAAATAAACAATTTTGTTCTGAAACCAAAATGTTTATAAATTTAAATTTTAACAAAATTTTGTGCATAAAGATAAAAGCAGTGGAGGATTAAGAAGATGTGGCTGATTCAACTTATATGATTAAAAAAATTGTTTACATGTGTAGAAAGGTAGAAATGATCCCATTACTGTCAAGTTGTCTTTAATGTCATTCTTACTTTTATGATATTTCACCATATCTTTCAAATAATTCAAGTAAATAAAAAAAAATATTTACACACAACTATACAATTTTTCTTTAATCAAAGTTGAATCTCTATAAAAATTATTTTTTATAATGAATTATTACTTAGCTTAGCAATGATTTAAGAGATTTTGATATAAATGAAGATTAAAAGGAAGTCTAAATTTCTTGGAATTTTATAGCTAAAAAAAAACGTTCAATCAATTTGAATGGAAAGATATTCAATTTCAAGATCACATTATTTTTTAAAGGATTGTGTATATACCTATTTTGCAATCTATAATCCTCCAGAGTTTTTTGTCTCAAAGCATCATTTTGCTCTCGTATAGCATCAGCAAATCTTTGCATCTCTTCTTCGCAAGCTCTCCAGTTACGATCTGAGGACGTTTCATCGTTCAGATTGTCGCCAGTGAGAGAAAATGATCTCGAAACTTCTCCGAGATAATCTCTCGAGCGTGCCAGCATCATTTCCTCCGTCAGAGATCCTCTCTTAGCCATCGCATACTGAGATCGATTCTGGGGGCGCCGCCTCTGCCCCCCTCCGCTCGGACAAGAACGGTAGCTGCTCGGAAAGGACGTGTAAGAGCCAGCTACAGAATCGCAATTGAGGTATGTTTGGGACGTGTTTCGAGAAGGATTCCAGAGACATGGTTTGTTCACGCTCTTGAACCTCAGTGAGGGCTGCTTTTCCGTGTCCTCATCTTCCAAGAAGAGAATTCGCTGTCGAGTTCGGATCAGCTCAACAGTTTCCTCAAATTTAACTTTTGATGCCTGAAATGGAGAATGATCATTAATAAAACCCAAAGTAGCACCAATAATGTTTTCAAATTTAATTTTTTTAAATTGTCTGGCAGAGGGGATATATTGATCGACCATGTCAACCTTCTTCTATGTAAAGGTACCCTCCACATAGAATAGAGTTAACATGTATGATATACTAGTGAATTGGTATTATATTTCTGTAGTGGCAGATACACTACACCAGCAGACATACTTTTCTTAATTTTTTATAAAGATTTCCCGCAGTCATTATGGAAGAGTCATTGCAAGAGTGGGGTAATTTATTCAACACCTAACTTGTAATTTCTAGGGGATTCTAGGCAGGGTTTAAAAAAAAAAATTATTTCTTTTTTCTTTTTAATCAAAATGTGGGATAATATTTTAAACTCTTAATTGAAATCAACTGAGCTATTCCAAAGTATTTCATAGTGCAGGGTGCGTAGCCAAATCTTTCAATAAAAAACAAACACCTTTTAAGTACTTTTTAAGCACTTTATAGATTAACAAAGTGCAAAACATTTTTCAAAGACTTTGCACGATCACAATAAAATTACTAGTTTCTGACAAAGAACACTTTTCTTAATTATATTAGCCACCATAAAAAGATGGAGAAATTTTTCAGTTCGATTTCAGAGGGAGGAAAACGAAGCTTGAAAATGAGAAAGCACCTTTAAAGGCTTTTAAAAAATTTAAATCGAAATTAAGCACCTTTAAGCACTTTTTAAAAATGCTACACACCCTGTAGTATGTAACTATTCTACTTAACTATTAATTAATTTTTTCAATAACAATTCAAAAATATCCACTTTTGTCGCTTAACTATGCTAACATAATAATATAAAAAGAAGAACTGAATACTTTAAATATGATTTTATATTACTTTAAAACTCTATTTAAGATGCAAAAAACCCCTAACATTTATATTTTAGTAATACATGTTAAAGAGTGATTTCTCACTGCACTTGTCTGTATTATAAAAATGCAGTGTTTCAGAATTATGCATTAAATATCACCATTTAGCTGCACACAATTTATAATCTTAGAATTAATTAAGTTTTTTTGAAATATGTATTTCTTGTTTTCTTTAATCCATTGAATCAATATAATTTTTTTTAATATATTATATATATTTTATTTCAATGATAATTAAAAAATACTTGAAAACAATGGAATGATGAAAAGGTACAAAACGGACATGGGTTTCAGATAAAATAGTGAAAATAAGTCTTAGTACTAATAATTTAATAGAAAAGAAAGTGCAAATTCTTTTTGTCATTTAATTTAACAACATAGTGTTTTAAGTTTAATAATACAGTGTAAAATCGCGTATCCGGAATCGGTGGGACTTCCAGAAGTCCGTATTATAGATTTTTCCGTATAATACACCCCCNTCAGAGTTTGTAGTTTCTCTGAAATTTTTGATTTTTCTGATAAAAACGAACACAAATGCAATTTTATAAAGTAATTCGGGATTTAAAAATAGTATATTTTATTATTCTTTTGCAATATAATTTGCTGTTATTGTGTTTAAGTAGATCATATTGAACTTTTTTTAGTTTGTTGTTTGCCTGTTTTAAAAGAAGTCTAGCACACGTATACTGTAAGAAAAAAAAACCTGGTTTATTCTTTACACTATTAGGATGTATGCTATATGCTTATTACTATAATGCAACATTAAATGAAATTAAAGGACAATATTGCAAATGAATTCTTCCTATTTTTCATTAAAATAGTTTATTTAATATAAATAATGCATTTTGATAATATTACAAAAATTGTTATAATATAAATTTGTAACAATAATAAAATAAAAATTTAAAACATGAACCAAAAAGTAAAGTATAAAACTTAAACAAGCACTTCATCACGTTTCGGTATGACCCCATCAATTGTTTGAATACATTACAGCAACACTTGTAATCTAACTAATAGAAGGGTGAAAGCAGACATACCTGGCACTGTTCCAGCAGAGAGGGGTTGTTTAGCCTGTTTGCCAGCTGCAGCATTTCCTCAAAGAAGTCATCCTCTAGGTAAGGATGCTCCTGAAGATAGGATCGCAGCCTTTTAGAGACAGAGTCGGTCAGGTCTAACTTCAGGTGAGAAACAAACCTCATAGACTCTAGGCACCACTCGTATGCCTGCAACATGTTTTTATTAACATCTTCTTAAAAAGATTATCATACACTCATTTGTTTGTTTCATGATTTATGGCAACAGAAAAAAAAATGTTCCAACGGAAACTTTTTGTAATTTTATTGCTCAATTTTAAAATATTTCTGAATTACTGCATTGTTTCAGAAAAGATTCTTTCTTAGAATAATGCTATGAGGTAATGAATAAAGTTATACAGTCAAACCCAATTATAGTAAACCTTCAAGGGACCGAAATTTCGGTTCACTATAACCAAGAGTTCACTATATCGGCACTACAAACAACTTTAACTCCTTTTTCCGAACTGCTCCCTTTTATGACACATTATTAAAATAAATGACCCAAAAAAAGAAATATAAAAATGATTAAACAATATGTAGTAACAAAATATGTGTTAACTTTCATTTTTTATGACACTTCGTCTTCAGTACAAAAAATGTAGGGATGGCCTTTACTTAGGGATGGGAAACTGAGGTAGAAGTAGCAAACAAGAAAAAATGCTTCTGGCTACATTCCACGCAATAGATGGTTTTGAAAATCGCTATATGTATTTTATGTGGAAATTTCAAAATTACCAAAAAAATGAAGAAAAAAAATTAGTCAAAGACAGAAAAAAGTTAACAATAATCAATTTCCCCTCTTCTTTTGGCTCACTATATCCACAAAAAATAATATTATATGTGTATAGCAAGGCACGGAAGCGAACATTTCGTTCACTATAAACAATGTTCACTATAGCAGGGTTTGACAGTAGTTATGAGGAGCAGCCAAATGAAAATGTAACACTCACTGTAAAACACATTCCTTGCCAAGTTTGCAGTGTTACATAAAGATAAGGTTGCAAGGTAGGAGAAATGCATCGTCAAACACCGAAGGTTTATACACTTGCTTTGTTATTGCTCTTTGGGTAAGCATATAGTTTGTCTAAACACCCCTAGCCATTCTTCCGGACCCGTGGTTGTGACCAAGGTAATGTGGTATAACTATTTCAAGTAGGGGTGTGGGGTCATTATTCAGAATAAGTTTTGGCTCGGATCGGTGAGAGAAAGGGAATAATTTTCTTCTCCCTACTGTGTTAGCCTTAGAGTGAAAGAGCTCATCTTACCCTCCTTGAAATGCACTATTCTTGTTTCTATGGCAGCAGGCGGTCTCAGACTTCGCAGTGGGAGGAGTTCTTACCATAGACAAACTGTAGTTGAAAGTGCCTTTGTGCAACACTGGAGATGAAGAGACAAGCAAAAGAAAAGTAGAGATGTATGGTTTCATTTTCTGTTAGCCTAAAAGGTTGGAACCCTTGAAATTTATTCTTACATGTCTTTTGCATGTCTCTGAAAAGTGTGCACAAGTCAGTATAAGAAACTGTCAGCAGTTGGACAGAATCATCCTTTCGCATGCTCTCATATAGAGAATCTAGAGAGGAATAAGTTTCATAAATTTGGCCGGGAAACATTTCAACATAGAACTGATATTTCCCCTAGTGACTTTTACATTTTTGGTAATCGGAAGACTGACATTGTGGAATTTTGAGTGCTAGAATGGAAGAGGTTACAATTCTATCAGCTACATGGGGAAAATAAGGAAGTTATGCTGCTAGCCGGTTGTAGAACAGTGATGACTTTTTAAAATACGTGGACACTTTTTCAAAGATTGTAAATTTTAAGCAATTAAAAAAAAACTGTTGATATTAATAATGTAAGACATTTTTCTTTTGAAGTATTTCTGAAACGATGATAAACTTTACTAGGTTCATTTCTAAAATGAAGAAACATCTTAACAAACAAGTGTGAAATTAAGTGATTTATTATTATTGCTTAAAAAAATTGTAATAAAATGCACAAGAGGCGCATATTTGTTTTTTTAAAATTTTAATGATAAGGGAATTCAGGGAATTCTGAAAACATTTTTTCAGCATTTCATGGTTTACATGAACTTTACTCAAACTTTAAAATATGAATGAAGATGAAAAATTTTTAATTCTTGATTCTGTTTTTCTATTTTGTCATGCTATTCTTACATGACCTCCTACATTGTAAATTCATCTGGCATTTACAAATCACAAACTTCTTGCAATTTAAAGAAAATGTTAACTAATCTCATGGAAAACATAATTATTTTAATTTTTACTTTATCCAATAGTTGGTAACAGCGACTGGTGTCTTCTAATTTCTCTCTTGCATCTTCTAATCTTTCTGTAAAATCATCCAATTGATATTTCAAAGTGGAACTGATACCATTTTCTTTCACTTTTGGGATTTCTTCCAACAGGTCATTACCCCTCTCTATTTGACGCTATACAAAAATAAGAATAATAAAGAGATGAATTTCGTAAAGAAATATTTATTTATTATTATTTAATGAATATTTGTTTCCCAAGTTTCCTTATATTGCACTGTGTACATAATCATAGAAAGCATTTTTTGATTTCCATTAAGAAGACAATTGGAAAAGACTTAGATATGGAGGCAGGGTCTGAAATCAGAATGTCACAGTCAGGTATCAATGGCACCTGTATTTTATCTTAGTTTAAAAAACAGTTAAGCTAGGCATAATTTAAACTTATATTTTTAATCATAATGTCAATCAGGAAACAAAAATTTTAGGTGTAATTCTAGACCCTGAAACAGGCAGGGTGCTAAAATATGAAAATATCCCCTTTCCCCAAAATGAGCAGTCATCACAAAAAAGGGTGTTGTATTTCACAAAAATTTGCATAGCTTTTAAGAGACCAAAAATATATGCAATCGTCACGAATTGAGAGCGAAACAAAATGAGATTACAATAGTACGAAATTTGCTGCTATGAAATCGTATTAAAAAGTATCGGAGTTGAAAAAAGCTGTACAGAAATAGACAAATTCGACTAATAACTGCTGAAATTATGATAGCGAATGAATGTGTTAAAAACTGCTTGTCATAATAACATGGTATAAAGACGATCAGAATAAGAAAAAACAACTGTAAGTGGCCAAAATACAATCAGAAAACGACTAAGATTTGTGACAGAATCGTTTCGACTCGAACGCTTCATAAAGTGAAAATCTAAATTCAAAATTCATGTGTCATAAAAATGCATTAAAAATATTAGATTTTGAAAATTCTAGAAGAGAGGACCGAAAAAAGAATAAATTGTAACAGAATTTTTTAACCATCAGATTACAAAAAAACCCTATCAAATCTGAATTTTTTAAAAGTCAGATCAGATATTTAAAATTTGATTTCTCAGGAACTATTTGACCAACTATGTTCAAATTTTGTATCTTTGCCATAAAAAATTTACATTCTGTAAAAATTTGCATATCTTACAAATATTTTTGCTCAAAAACAAGTAAAATAATAATTAAAACATAGTTTTTGGATGGAATTATCTTTGGATAAACAAATTTTAAAATTCTGTGCCAAAATTCAAGATTTAAGAATTCCAATTCATCAAAAAAAATGGTATGTTTATTCAAAGAGAGTAGGTTTTTATGACTGTTTTTGTAATTCATTACATTAAAAGCTATTCAGGGTGTTTATTTGAATATCTTCAAAATTTAAAGAGCTACAAGTAATGTTTGCAATTTTCGCATGAAAGTTAATACGATCAGGGGTTTTCACTAATTTTATTTTGTATCAAAATTTAATAAAAAAATGAAAATACTTTACAATAATAGTATAACTAAACTTTGATGGTATAGAAAAAGAAAACATACTTTTATAGGGGATGATTCTCAACAATGCCAGTGTTATTTTTAATAAATCTTGTTTAATGGTACAAGATGAAATTTTTGTGGATAACCCCTTATCGTTTTAAGCTTCTTTTAAAAAGTGCAAAAACTACCAAGAAAATTGCTTGAAACTTTTTAAATTTTTAAGATATTCAAATAAAGCTTTTATCATTAGTTGGCAAATACGATTAAAATTATGAAAAAAACTTTTTAAATATTTTCAGCGAATTTTCAGTATAAAATAACCAGTTTAAATATACATTGCTGGTTAACATTACTGGCTTTCATTACTGGTTACAAAACATTACTGGTTTTATAGTTTTCAATGATTTTTTCTTTAAGTTTTAAGGAAATTTTGCAATTAATCTTAAAACTTCTTCAAAAATTTTGTTTAACTCCACTGAATATTTATGAAGTTATACCGAAAAAACGTAAGGCAAAAATTTTTTTAATAAAAATAACCGTATTTCCATAAATATTTACTCTAGGTTTACAAAATTATATGCAGTTATTAAAAATAGCAACTAAAGTAATCTATACAAGTTCTTTGCTTTATTTTCGGGCATAGGGCGCTGAAAAATATTTGTTTTCTTTCATAATTTATTGAAGGTTTCTCAAGTCTCTGAAAGTTTTAAATTTTATTGATAAGTATGAAAAATTGCATAAACTAAGCATCTTTAAAATTACGAAATGATCCTTAAAGTATTTCTTGAGAAAGTGTCACTTCCATTACAGGGTGCGCAGCCAAATCTTTCAACAAAAAATAAGCACCTTTTAAGCACTCAAAAAATATTTTTAAAAACTATATACATTAAAAAAATGTAAAATAATTTTCAAAGACTTTAGATGACCATGAGAAAATAACTAGCATTAAATTACACATTTTTATCTGAAATCAGGAGAGGGCAAACACTCTGGATTTGACTGTATTTTAAAGTAATCACAGGTAGCAAAATAAAATGTAGAGAAATTTTGCTAGCAAGAGAATAATTTTCTGAATACTTTTTTTTACTTGAGAGACATATATGGAAAAAAAACCTACAGAAGAAATAAATTTCTCACAACTCAAGTAAAAAAAAATAGAAAAAACTAGTTCTTAAAAAAAAATACCAAACACTTTTGTAAAAAGAGTTTATAATTTTAGTTTAAACGAAAGTATTAATTTTCAAACTATTTAATGTACCATTTTTAAATACTTTTAAATGTGAATACTCAAACCCATTCCTAAATAATATAATATATAGATTTTTAAATTGCGGAAAAATAATTAAATGAGAATAGTTATTATGAAGTAAAAAACTTTTAAACTTCATGGTACAATATCGAATTTAAGCCATTCTTCTAATATTTATTACTAAAAAATTGTATCAGTCAATTTTAATTTCTTCCAGTACCCCTTGAAGAAATAGGCTTTTCCTGGACAAAATACCAATCCTGTGAAAAATATAAAATATCTTGTATAGGTTCCTTTTCACAAGTTTATCTAGGATTAGAAAATCTATAGAACGTTACACATTTAAAGATAAATTTCTAACCATTGCTAGAAAATAGAATTTTTCAAAATCTTGCTCTTGTTCCCTGATACTATTTAAACTTTCTGCTAGGGTCTTATGCTTCTTAAGAGTTTCTTCACCTTTATGATTCAACCACGCCAAAATCTAGAAGAAAAAAGGAATTCAATTAAGATCATTTGATTCAGACATGAACAAAACACAATGTGGACATGTTTTAAGGGGATCTACACTCCCCCCCCCTTACACTAAGTATTTCTAATACATAATATAATTTCCAATAGTATAATTCCATAATATAATCTCCAATTTCAATAATATTGATTACAACTGTAATTGTGATTCCTAGTAATCACAACAAGAAACAATTGCAGGTAATTATCATTACAAGCAATCAAAATATATGATGACACATAATCGTGATTTCATGTAATCATGATTACAAGTAATTGTGATTAGTTGAAATCAAATTATATGATTAAAATTAATGAAGATTGCACAGTTTATGTAAATGCAGTATGTATGAGCATATATATATCTATGTACTTATCATATGCGTACATATGTATGTGTAAGTGCAAACATTGACATATTTTCGGATTATACAATGTTTGTACAAATGTAAATAATTTCTGCATGTACTTATGCATGTACAATATCTATGCATGAATGTATGAAAATAAATACAACATAGGTATGCAAAACTGGCATAATTATGCATTCATATACTAAACATGTACACACATGTTAGTTTGTATGCAAACGCAATGTTTTGTATGTACGTATGTCTAGACAATTTACGCATGTATGTATGCACAGACAATCTACATATGTACATTGCACAAAAAAATAAATGGACCAACCTGAATAACTTTTGATCTAATGTTTGGATTTCTTTGTTCTATGACTCAATCTTAATGGTTCAAAGAGGTGATATCAAATATGCTAATTAATTAGTGCAGACTATGCATTGAGTTATGAAATCAGACACAAAAGCATACAATACACATGCGTGTAAATGTATAGCACATACATGCTTGCATTCATTAGACATAAATATATTGTGTAACATATACATATTTTTTTGATATAAATATATCGTAAATATATTCATTAGACATACTTTGGGCTATTTTTACATATTTCGATTCCTGCCCACAAAATAGAAGGGTGGCCGCAATCTGGAAATTTGCGCTTTTAGCCATATCTTTAAAATTAATTGAGCAATTTAAAAAAAAAAAATTGCCTCTACTCGTGAAACTCTTTTATCGAAGGATAATTTCTTGCAAACAATAATTTTTGATAAATATTTATAATTTAATTCAATTGTGGATAAGACATTTATTAAAATAAATGTACCATATTAATCTACATAACTGATATAAAAAAAATTTGTATTTACCCATCCGAAAAATATATATATATACATATTTTTTCAGGGTTCCTACACTATTTTGAGAAAACAATATCCTGACTTTTGCAGGTTTTTCCTGACCTTTTACTATAAAATTCCTGACCCGCCGTTTCCCACTCCAACAAAGCTTTTAACATTGCAGTTTCAATTAGTAATAATATGCTACTTAGTCATAAGTATCATATATTGAATAAGATAGACACTTATATATTAAAGTGAAATTGGATATAGCACTTTATCCCAAAATATATTTTCAGAAAAATTGTGAAACATATTTTTAATTATCATGATTAGATTAAACTTTTAGTGTGTTTTTGTAGTAAGATACAAAAACTATTGAAATTAAAAAGATCAAGAAAATCTGTTGGATTATGGAAATATTATTTCATTTAATGTTAAGTGGAACCAAATGCATGAGTGTCGTCAGGATATAACGGGTTAATCTGCGAGATATGTATCAGTATCCTCAAATAATATTTACTCTTAAAACATACAAGAACATTTGTAACATTAAGTTATTAATTTTTAAAAATCACCAATTCACTTCAAACTGACTTTTCTTTTAAAAGATAATATTGAAATATAAAGGGGAAAAAAGTCAAGAAAAGTTAATTATATACAAATAAAAATTCA